TTCCTCATCCACACACATAGGAAATCGGCGAAGCCCCGACCGGAAATCGCCGAATACCGCATGTGCGGTTGCGGCATTAGGGTTGAAAAAGACCTTTCTGGTGTAGCTGTTGACACTGGTAGAGTTGCTAGGATCATTAATAAAGTGTATATATTTGGAAATATACACTGGTTACACTCCGATTATCGTTTCGATAGCGTTTTTAGGTCGGTCGACTGCAGGTAGCTGCTTCCATTTTTGCCGCCACAAGTCTAGTTCTGCCGCTAAAGTGTCATAGTCCAAGAATTCTTTCTCTAATAGCAGAACAATAACAAACGTTAATCGCGTTAATGACTAGCAAAACACACAACATTCAAAATCTTGTCCTTGTCAAACTTTTGCTGTTTTAAACACTTGAATGTTGAAAGTCGAAAATCGAAAATGACATTTGCTTTCAAAGTGGAAAAGTGAGGTTAGGGTGTATAACGTATATTCATCAATGACTAAAAAATACAAGGACAAATAGCACCCGAGACCAAACTGTGACCATTCTTCCAAACAGGTCGTAGCACATATTTTACTTAACATTGCCGCTTGAAGGGATATTTATATTTTTGATATTATTGTTTTTTCACCATGGTACAAAGAAAAACAAGGTATGATCGATAACGGCTACATATTTCGTTAAGTTTGCGCATACCACCTGTGACGTCATACGCCATCATGAAAAAATATCCATATTGTTCAATTAATATACAACTGTGTTTTCTTTCTCTGTACATGCCCTGGCGCCCAATATCTATTTTTGTTTATTGTTCTAATAAAAAAAGACCTAAAATAGGGAAGAATTAGGACATAACCCCAAAAGTTATGTTTTGACATCGAGCTTGACATTTATAAAAAATTATTTTCACATTTTTGACACAATCAAATTTTATCAGACACATCTCTTTGACAATTTGAAATTGGCGCGCAGAGCTTGCAGACCAATGGTGCCGTTTATCACCTGTGACGTAGTAACCAACCCGCGCAATATCATACCATGTATTCTTTGTATCATGTGTTTTCACTACGCCTATGGAGTATCGGGTGGTATCATACTAATTAATTACGAAAAAAACGTATTAAAATGTTAACAAAAGGTACATAACTAGTATCGACGTATAGTACATATCAAGTACATATAATATCAGAAAAATAATTATCGAATTCAATAAAATAAAACGCTAAAAAGGTGTAGGGGGACTGTTCATTTCCCTATAAAACGTAACTTCTGGCTCCTTTCTTATCATTGCGCCTTTTACACTTGACAGCTGAACAAATTACCATTGTAATATTGTAATAAAGTTTATACAAAGTTCACTACACACAAACAACTATTAAAAATCGCTAAAATTGCCGCTGATGACCAGCTGATGATTCATTCGTTATGTCTAAAAAGTTAGTCTAAGGTCACAAATTCTGCTGCAGCACGTATCTGGGCGTTACATGTCCTTGTATTCTTTAGTCATAGATATTCATCCATCTTGTTCTTTTTTTGTTTCGTTCTTACTTACTCAATGATCATTACTTTTTAAAAATTTTAGGCCATAATTTCGGGGGGGGGTTTGAACCCCCAAAACACCCCCCCAGATACGGCCCTGTGTTGCATCATCGTCGTACGGGACATAGAAAATCCCATGTAAATTTTAATGGAATCAATTATTGGCTTTCCTAATTATTTTAGAGAATAATTCTATTTAGGTTTATTGAAGAGCACTAAAACCCACATTCAAAAGTATAACTTTAGATATTTTTGATTAGCTCGTTTACGAGTTATCGCCGATTTCTTTTTAAATATTTCTTCTTTCTTATGGCCCTGTATTTACTTATGAGCACAGTCAAGGTAAAAGATAACTTGACTGGTGCTTAATGAAGTTGTCATTTCAGAAATTTACCTATTATTATTGAAAACTCATTCCTACATCGGAAATCTTAAAGATGTATTTATAAATACAAATTAATATGAATTAAAGTAAAATAAAGTAGTCAATTACAAGGTTAATTATAGTATTATTACAATATTCAATAACTTATTAATTTAGGTACTATTAAATTGTTAGAACTTTAGAATTTAAGAAGATGTTCAAATATTCCTCCATCGACTGCTAGACAATAACCCAGGCGATAATAAAATTCTCTTCTTACATTCGCTAGTTGGTAAAATGAAATTCTATTGCATTCGGCAGAAATAGCATTTTTTAACTCGTCTAGATTTGGGTATTTTTTATCCTTGTATATCCTGTTTTTTAAATGGCCCCAGAAAAAGAAATAATTTGGCGAAATATCAGGAGACCATGCTGGCCAATTACTGTATGATTTAAGCCAATAACGTTTCCGTTAAAACTATTGTCTAAATATTCCCGAACAGCCAAGGTACTATGTGCCGGGCAGCCATCCATTTGGTACCAAACTTCCTGATTTTCCCTAGCGGCATCATGTAAGGCAGGTAAAATATGATTTTCGAGTAGTTCCAAATAATATTCTGCATTTAAATTTCGCGTAAGAAATAATGGCCCGATAATATTGTGTCCGAATATCCCTGCCCAAACATTTACTTTCTTTGGATATTGCGTCCTTGTTTCGACAAACCTGTGTTGGTTTTCTTTGTTCCAATATCGATAATTTTGAACATTGGGTTCATTATTTAAGGTAAACTTGCATTCGTCAGTAAAACATATGTTTTTTAAAAATTCCTTATTCGTGTTTGCTCTTTCCATCATATCAAAACAAAACGCCTACCGCCGTATTTCGTCCCCATCTCGTAGCTCTGGGTGCTTTTCATATTTGAAGGAATAGTACCGTTTTCGTATGATCGAAAAAAAACGGCGTCCAGTTGGCTTGGAAATGACGATCGATGACATTTCCCATATAATTTTGCATATAAAATGACAGCGATCTTCATTTCATAGCCATCGTTGACGCCGTTTTTATTCGATCATACGGTATTTATGTCGTTTCAAAATTCGAAACGCTGTAGTGTGATCTATTCCTATTTCATCCTCAAGTTTCCTTGTTCTGATCTTTCAATCGTTCTCTTCCACGCACAATAAAACTTCCAAGTCGGTATCATTTCTTGCATCTTCTCTTTGTGCCTGTCTTGCTTCACATCTGCAGTTATTTATTAGGGTACCTTTGGTCTCAAATCTCTGGATATTCCTTGAGATTGTAGATTTTCCAGGCATCGGTCTATTCAGATACAGAGCAGCAAACATTTCCGACACCTTTTGATAACTATTTCCTTGATAATACCATTTAATCATCAATACTTTTTCTTCGGTAGTGTAATCATGGCTAATATTTTCGATGTAGGTATAATAACTTTAATAATAATAATAAAGCACTAAATAGATAAATTTCTGAAATGACAACTTCATTTGACAGTTATCTTTTACCTTGACTGGTGTTCATCAGTAAATACAGGGCCATAAAAAAGGAGAAATATTTAAAAAGATATCGGCGATAACTCGTAAACGGGCTAATCAAAAATCTCTAAAGTTATTCTTTTGAATGCGGGTTTTAGTGCTCTTCAATAAACCTAAATAGAATTATTCTCTAAAATAATTAGGGAAGCCAATAATTGACCCCATTAAAATTTACATGGGATACTCGACGATGCAACACCCGGTATAGGAAATGCCATGTAAATTTTAAAGGTTATTGGCTCTTCTATTGAATTAATTTTTTTTTTAATGAATCTGTTTAAAGTACTAGATGAGATCAATCAGTTATACATTAACCCCCATTATTTTTTTTGTTATAAAAATATGATTGTTGTTAATAGAATGTTTTTTACAGAATATTTGTTGGTTACTATTTCGACTACAGTCTACAGATTACTTCAAAATATTGTAAAAAAACAGTGTATAAAACTGAAAAAATGTAATCGAGTTATTTTATTTAAAAAAACGGTATGGTGTTAATACAAAACAAACAAGAACAAAACACCCCATACCAAAAAAATATAAAAAAGAACTATTTCTTACTTTCAAGCTTCAAGAAACTTTCCGCATTTATTATTATATTTATCAATATAACTTATGTACAAATACAAATTTGTAATTTTCCACAAGAATAAATGAAACAAACTATTTTATTAATAATAACACTTACCAAATTTTATGCCTTCAAGGTTGATTAATTAACTTTAGTCTTATTTTTTTTAACCAGTACCTTTTGACATTTTTCTGCAGTACTAAAATCCATTATTTACCTATCCTGTGATGTAGATATTTTACAGCTACTCCAGTTTTTAGTATGTTTAGTACGATCCTTGTACCATATACGAGATGCACTTATCTATGACGATATGGTATACAAACTTTATTGATGGCAACTTTATTGGTGTATAGGACTTCCTGCTCGATCTTTCCTCTACTTGACTTCAACAGATACAAAACACACGTAATAACACGAATCAAAATGCATCACCTTCCAAAACGCAGGGTATTTGACATAAGTTGACACAAAATTATAACCTATAATTTGGCAAGACTTTGACAAGCCTCAAAAATCTAAAGGCGAGTTCATACGCATCGGCGTCCGTTTGTCGTTCATTGTTCCGTCAAACCAATAAAACTGAAATATGATCTGTCATTTTTGAAATAAACCATCAATAAAACTGGTTAAAAACAACAAGAGACCACGCATGACTTTAATAAAAAATATTAGAAACTTTTTTTTAGTAAAATAAATAGATTGATATGGACGTCAACTGCTTTCCTTCTGTCATTGTCGAAATCTTAGGTGAGAAAAGAAAAACAGAGTATAAAATAACCATTAAAGTGTTCATTAAAAAATAAGTACATGTGTACAACAGAGGAGGTGGCAGCATTGCAAAGCTGCGTGACACTAAAAAGTTTTTTTTAATTTCTCTAAAAGTCTTTTTTTTTGTTCAAAAAAAATGTCGAAATTTGCTGATTTAAGATGTTCCCTGTATAATGTGGAACAAATACATAGGAAAATAAATGAAATACAAGGGGTATCTTGTTATTTATTTAATTTTTTCATTTCTTTAAAGACAATCATCATAATATAATACTATACATCTAAATATTTACAAAAATAAAACAGATGATAAAATAATGTACATCAACTAACTTGCGGATCCGATTCTGTATCAAACCGAACCCTACAAAATAATAATAATAATTAATAATAAAATCGGTTAGTTCAATTTTTTTCTCTTCCTTTTTACAATAATAATAATAATAAAATTTGTTCAATGTGATATGGTAAAACATTGTTCTCATTTCTATATAAATACAATATTGTTAACAATAATTGGCTATAAAGACAAAAAAGTTAATAACAATTATTAAAAACAAGTCGGGGATTTTGCAACCAACACACACAGTTATATTTTTCACTTTCGGTTTTTTTATGTGGACATAATAAGTATTTTTAGAGCCTCTGTATATACATGTATTGTGCGTTAGGTACAAAACCTGTAATGAATTCAATAGTACTTTGAACATTACATCCCTAAGTATACTGTGGTTGGTGAGATTTGAACAAACACAAATATTTTCTGTTTTTTAAAGCCCAAAAAATATTTTTTTAAGTTTTTTTATGACATACTTTTTCTGGTTCATATTATTTCCTATGTTAAATGAGGTGCTATACCCTATTAGAGACCTATCGCACTGTAACGTATAGAACGTTAACTTTAAAGGGTAACAAGCGATAAGACTCTAATAATTTTTCCTTGTTTTTTTTTCCACGCAACTTGGCAGTGGCGTGGAGTACGTTTGTGTATGTGGAAGTGGCAGGGTGGAGGGGGGGGGGAGAACAGTATCCAGTGCCGGTAGTCGCGTCAACAAAGTTTCTTGTTCGGTTATCACAGATAAAATTACTAAAAATGCGTTAGTTTGTTCTTTTTTCATTTTTGTCGTCGTTTTTTTTTATACAAAATTTACAGCACTCTATATTTTCTTCTTTTTCGTTTCCGTCGGTGTGTTTTTCGTTTCTTTTTTTGCACTTTGTCCCTTATTGCTTGATCATCTGTAAAAAGAAAAAAAACGTTATTAAAGTTATAACAAAATTTAATTTGTCATAGTGTGATTGTTACTAAATTCACAGTATTTAAGAGTCTTCTAATCTTGTAAGTGGTTTAAGATGTAAGAAATTCTATTTATATATTAAGTATTTACAATGTACGGATTAAGGATAAAGCAAAAATATTACAACACAGGCTGTAGACACTCATGATCATAATGAAGTCTTTACGGTATTCTCTATTAAGGTCCAGTTTTATACCTTCCTTTAAAACTTCAGATTTTATCGCTTAATTCAATTTTATACATGCATTGGCATAACTACAGGGGAGCCCGGGGTGCCCCCCCCCATGTACTGCTGGGTACCCCCCAGATAAATCCTGAATTATGACTCTTGGCTACATATTAATTTTTATTTGCGTTTATTCTGTTTAGTTAATATTATTTTGTTGTATTCAAAAAATGTGTTAAATTTATTTTTTTTAGAAAATTTATAGGTATTTAAGTAACCTGCGGGAACACGGTTGACCAAGTCTATGAAATTTATTGATAGAGAAATTCATGTAAACGTTTTATTCAAAAAATGAGTTTTTTAGAATTATTTTTCATTTTTAAAGAAACAAAAGCCCTAAGCCCCTCTGGGCTCAACACCAGGCAAATATAAGTAAAATATATCTAAAACCTTCCAGTATGGTACTGCCAGTACTTACAAAACCTTCTCGAAAGCCTTTTAACCCGAACGAGACCAAAAAACACGAATCGAACCGAAGAAAAACAAAAAAAATAAATAAACGACACATCGAAAAGACGGTGCACAAGACAAGGACGAACCGACTTATCTTAAACTAAGAGAGTAAAGGATAGAGAGTAACGACGTTACATTCAGCCATTCACCGATCCCTATCTACTTTCATTTGTCAATGTCTGCGAGGTGGCGATAGCGTCTTTCATTCAGAGTTCGAAAATATCGTGGGCGTACTCTAGTATTTCTTTTGTTTCTTCTCCTCTTCGACCTTTCAAGCTAATGAATCGACGGAAAGATAAACTATGTGCGTTTCTTTTTGTCTTTTACGTTCTATCCCTTTTTCGTTAATTTGAATTTTGTCAGTGTCAGGTAGAGAAAAAAAATCGGGCTTGGAGAACCGTCATATTTATTAGTTTTGTGGTCTAGGTTTATTTTCAAACTTGTGTCTTTGAATATCGCCTATAAATATTGTATTAGTGTCAAATTTACATTAAGTTTTCATATTTTTCAGAAATTTAGCTTGATTCTGCACATTTTTATGTCATATGCAGCTAAGAAGATTTTTTTAGACTATCAGTCAAAGAGCAACTGACAAATCAAAACATCTTGTAACACCAAGTTGTAGCCTGGTAATTTACGAACATTTTCCTTTTTTATTCACTCTGTTATCTCAATTATTAGAAAAGATACAGGGTTTTAAAGAAAGGGTGGATAATTTATTTAATTTTACCTAATGTCTTCAGTCGAATTTCATAATATTAACGAAAAAAAAAAGAGTGGGTGCACAGTGTGAAGTAAAACTTCTTACTAACGGCTATTGTGAATAATCGTAAACTAAAAATTATAAAGTGTAATTGAAACCACTAATTGCGAGGTTATGAACGAAGCTTAAATCTGTCAAAAAAAAAACGAAAGATGTAAATATAAAAAAAATTATGGACTATTGGAAATACGTTTCATTACTTGCCGGTCCTAAATCACACCGGCTTCCACTACCTGACTACCGAACAATAGAAAATTGAATTGGAAAAAAGTTATAGGGAGGGGAGGGAAGGTCGCTAGTGATCGGTTTCAAATAACAACGCTCCAGCCACAAATTGCTGATCGTAGATTAGAGAAAGAAACAATTTCCGATCCGGATTTCGACTTTATCTGGTCAGTTAGGTGTTTCGGTGGAATGCATTATGTCACGACCTGTTTTAGACACGGGTAGGACCATGGGAATAGAACAGCAAACCGTACTCAGAGCGATAAAAACGAAATATAATATCTTCGGTTCAGTAAGAAAGTACTTTTACGTCAATACTGTAACTTATTTTGCAACGATTAGCCACAGGAATAGAGGAACAGATCTAGATTTTCCTCAGAGTGATATAGAATAAAGTTGACAAATTTCTTCACGGCAGGTGTCGGTTACATCTTTTTTTTAACAATATCTCCCTGGGCAGATGGTTTCGATGGCATAGTTTTAAAAAATATGAAAAAAGTTCCTATAAAGATGGGTAGGGTTAGGTTGTAGCTAAGCTAAACTTTTTAAAATTAAGTTTTTTGTAATTATCTTAAATTCCATTTATTTGAAATTGCTGCAGGTTGAACTAATAGTAATAATAAATTAGGTAAAATATATAACTTATTATTTTGTTTTTATTTTAATGTTTTTAATTCTGTCTAATAAAATTGCGTTTATCTCATCAAGGAAGCCGAATTCGACAAAATATCAAAAGATAACTTTTAATTGGCATTTTTTTTGGAAAAATATTCCAGTGATAACCCATATGCACGTCTCTGATTTTGATGAATTTATCGACACTTTTTTTAGCATTAAAATATGTAGAAACTTATAGTAACTTTGTGTATTTTGTGTTAGTTTCCGTTGTTAGTTTTTATAAAAGTTGTTTTTGGGTTCTCTTAGCTGTTTTGTTGTCTGATTTTCTATCTATTTGTTGGTTAGTTTTCAAAGCAATAGTTGTTTTTATTATTTTATTTTTGATTTTGTGGAGAGGTAATCTTGTCTTATGTTTAGTTCTTTTGATCTTTGGTATACTTTTTCTGTTGGTGTTGGTCTATCTAGAATAACTGTTATTTTTAACATCCCTAGTTAAATTATAGAGCTCTTACAGAGAATGCTTCACAATGATCAACTGAAACTACTGAAGAAACTAAATCTACTTAAGAGAATAGGTACCGTTAAAACTTCATTATGATCATGAGTGTCAGTGTTCATTGGTTCAAAAATAGGGGATAGAATAGTTTAGAGATAATAATATAAATAATAAATTCATTTACCTACCTTTACATCAGATAGAGTCCATCTCAGACGGGCGATACGAATCCTCCATTTATACTTTGTGAACTATAAAAGAAATTAAAAAAAATAAGTAAAAATAGCTGTGTTCCAACAATCTAAACCTATGTAGTAGTTTCTTTTTCACTATTTTATATATGGAGAATTGTTTTTTTTATATCATTATTTCTGTCAAATTCCAGAAAATTGTTAAACAAAAATTGAATCATTTTTTTTAAAATAAATTACTTTAATTTTCATATTTACAGATAAAAACTATTTTGGTATACAGGGTGTTTCAAACAAATGCGAAAAACTTCAGGGGTTGATTCCTTGTTCAAAATAAAGGGTAGTTTGCTTCATAAACGTTGGGTCAAAAGTCAACCATTATGGAGATATTGCGGTACAAAGATGGCGGAAAAATAATGTTTTTATTTTTTATCTTGAAAACGAAAAGAGATAGACTAATAAAATTTTATGGAAGCATTACTGTTATGAAAACACACTTTCTGGTAATGTTTTCACTTTTTTAAAATGAGTGGAAGGGGTTGAAATAAACTACCCTTATCATTCTTGTTAACGAAATTTAAAGAAAAATCTTATCAAACACATGCAAAAAAATTAATTTGGATAGTTTAGTTTGTTTAGAAACTTTTTTATCTCTTGTATTTTTTTTATAAAACTCACCGATTTGAAATTAAAAAATAAAATGTCAGGACAAAAAACATTTTCTGATAAAGAATCTAGTGGGCTGCTGTAATTTTTTTAGGAAAAAATCTAGTCGGCCGCTGTTACTTTTTAGGATGTTCCTAATATTATTTTTTTTGACATTACTCTACTGCAATACGTTATTATCTAGATGATTATTATTATCGTTATTATCACTAGATTCTTAATCTAAAAATGTTTTTGTCCTGACATGTAATGCTTTACATTTTATTTTTTAATTTCCAATCGGTGAGTTTTATCAAAAAACACAAGAGGTAAAAAGTTTCTAAACAAACTAAACTATCCAAATAAAAGCATTTGCATGTGTTTGATAAGATTTTTCTTTAAATTTCGTTAACAACAATGATAGGGGTAGTTTATTTCAACCCCTTCCACTCATTTTAAAAAAGTAAAAAAATTACCTGAAAGTGTGTTTTCATAACAGTAATGCTTCCATAAAATTTCATTAGTCTATCTCTTTTCGTTTTCAAGATAAAAAATAAAAACTTTATTTTTCTGCCATCTTTGTACCGCGATATCTCCCTAATGGTTGACTTTTGACCCAAAGTTTATAAAGCAAACTACCCTTTATTTTGAACAAGGAATTACCCCCTAAAGTTTTTCACATTTGTTTTGAAACACCCTGTATAATATTAAAAAAAATGTAAAATAATGGCTTAAATAGCTTGCCAGTTCAGTGTCTTAATAAAAAAAAACGGCAGTTATACAAAATTACTGTAACTTTTTATCAAAATTATTCCTTACAGCATTGTTGCCATGTCAATAATAAACAATAATTATACAGGGTGAGTATTAAATAAGAGCACATATTATCACTGAGCTGGTAATAAATCTCGATAAAAGAAACATATTTTCTATTTTCCGTTTTTCAAATAAGTCCAAAATTACCGAGTTATATTACTTTTGAGAACCACTGGATTTTTTCTGTATGTTACGTTTCCCTAAATTTAAAATCTACCATCTATGTGGTCATATTATCAAGATATTATGTGTCAAAAAATAAAAAAAATAGTGTACTTATTTAAGACTCGCCCTGTATACAGTAATAAACTAAAAATCCCTTAATTATTAAATAAATTATTACCCGTTACCTTTTATAAAAAGGTTTGAAGGCTGCATTATCTCCCACTACATTCCCACCCCCCGGGTTCATCTGCACTCCCCCCTGATTTTGCTGGGGAGGCCTCTGCGGACTGTGAATCCTTCCAAAACCCCCCAGAAAAGCCCCCGAGTTTTGGGAATAGCCTCCGTTCGAACCCCCTCCTATACAGGGTCCTCCCTGGCCGGGAACCACGTTCCCTGTCACCGTGGGGAGCTTCATATTGGGGGGAGTTTGAGGTGGGGTGTCTGTTTGGACGTCGGGGAAACCCTGTTGGCAGTGACTCGGTAGAAAGCCTCCGTTCGTATACCTGGAAGAGATAAAAATGCTCGTATAAATATCTATCTTTTTTAATTTTCTTGAAAAGAATTCTACATTTTTAAGGAGTCTCACTTATTACTTCACATGTTATGGTGGGATATATGTTGTGTATATTACTTCACATGTTATGGAGGGAGATGGAGAACTACCCTCTATAAAACCGTCCCAGATACTGGCTTTTGTCAAAGCCCTGGGACTGTATGATGAGTTATGATTCAAGAAAGGGGGACACAATGGATCTGTAAGGTCGAAGTGATTAACCCCCCTCCCACTCATTCTAAATTATAAAAAATTCTATGGTGGGATATTAAAATGTTATTAAAATAAACATCTCCAAATGCCTGAACAATACATTTATTTATATTAGATTCTATTAAACAGCCTTTTTCATTTTTTTTTATTTTGTAGGTTTTCCCTTAAAACACCAGAATTCTCTTGAAGAAATGAACCCGCTACAAACAGGTATGGACATTATTTTTAAGCTAATTTTATTTTTTTAATGATTTACCTTGAACTGGGTAGTGCAAACCCATTGGAACTCCCCAACCATTGACCACCTTGTGAAGGGGGTGGCGGTGGAGGTGTTTTACAAGCTGCCGTGTCGGCAAGTGACCAGATTTTCGGTTTGGAAGGTGGTAGTGGTACTCCGCAGTCGGTACTCTTCAGTTCCGACTTCAACGCATACCCATTGCCTAGGATGTGGTGCATGTTGTTGCCTAAGATGTCGTCTTTCCGATCTTCGTCGGTCATATCGTCGTCATCCAGGTCTTTGTTTGGTCGTTCTGATTTTATTCTTCCATGAATGTCTGTGGAAAAAGACTCAACGTAAACAATGTGAAACTGTAATCACAAAACTTCAATCTATTTCCGTATTGTCACGGAATTTTAAATGATGTCTTAATTTTAGAGAAAATTTAGTCCAAACATCAGGAATGTTTTTTCTTTCTTCATTTGTGTAAAAATACCTAGCCAATTTTACATAAAACGTTAAACGCTGAACGCTTATTTTGCCACTTTTTCGGACTGGTGAAATGGACTCTTCTGCCAGGACCACAAAATTAATATCTATAAAAATAATTGACCCCTATTAACGCACGTCCTTCACGCCTATGCCCTCAAAAAGCTTCCCCCACCTCCAAAACTTCTCCCCCGACCGACTTTACGACCCTTTAATAAAATATCATTTTCATTTTGACACCGACGAGTCTCCCTCCTCCTCCCCCCACTCTCCTTTCATTCCCCTCTTTATGCCACCCCCTACGGACTCGAAATAATCACATTCGCACTCAAAGCGATGCGTATTTTCCGTCGGGATTAGATATAGACCGGGAGATAGAGAGATTTGCTTTCTTTAGGGAAGACAGACAAATTCTTTAGTAAAAGTCTGTACAAAAATAGTATCTCTTTAGATATTTTTTTTATAGTCGAAGAAAATAGGCCTTTAAATTCGAAGTTTTGGTGCAAACTTGAATTTTTGTTACGTTGAAGTTACTTTGAAAGATCTAAAAACGAACTGTGAAAGAGAATAAGGGGTGAAATAAATAAATAAATAAAATTCTTTTTTTGAAATTTCGGAGAAACGGTGAGAACTAGAAAAAAAAGTTCAAATAAAAGTTGAAGAGGGCTAAATTTTACATAGAAATGATCTGTATACTTTTTTTGCTCAGATCAAAATTAACCGAGATAGGGTGGCTAGAAGCTAGAGGATGATAGAGAAATTTAAAAAAAAATATAAGTTGCTGAAAAATTCATATATTTAACTTTTTTCAGTTTGTTTGGCAAATTACAAATTTCAATTAAGATTTTTTTAAATTCACCCCTAGAAGGGGTGAAAAGTATAAATAAAGTGTTTTTTTTTTTCCTAATTTCAGAGAAACGGCAAGGACTTTGAGAAAAATAATATCTATACTAATATATAAAATCCTTAAGTGACTGAGATACTGGTTAATCACGATCCTGCTCAAACCACTCAACGTAAGAAGCTCAATTTTGGCATACAGGTTGATTCTAGGGTGTAGAGGTTCGATAAGAAGGGATTTTTCGAAATTCCAGTCCCAAGAGGGTGAAACCACCCCTCAAATATTACAATATTTTTTATTTAAAAAACGGTCAAGTTTCCGAAAAATCGCTTAAACGCGTATATTTTATTTTGTTTTTTTACATATTTTAAGATTTTTTAAAAATGTATACAGGGTGTTTCGAAAAATCTGGTCATTGATTAATCACGAACCTGCTTAAAGCGCTTGACGTAAAAAGGGTGTAGAAGTTCGATAAGAAGGGATTTTTCGAAAATCGAATTCTAAGGGGGTGAAACTATCCCTCAAATATTAAAATATTTTTTATTTAAAAACCGGTGAGTTTTTCAGAAAAACTCTTAAACATGTACATATATTTATTTTGTTGTTTTACACATTTTAAGATTTTTTATAAATTTATACAGGGTTTTTCATAAAATATGACCATTGAGTAATCACGATTCTGCTTAAACTGCTTGACGTTTAAAGCTGATTTTTGGCAAACGGATTGACTGTGGGGTGTATTGGTTCGATAAGGAGGGGTTTCTCGAATCTCAAATTCCAAGAGGGTGAAAACGCCCCTTTAATATTACAATATTTGTTATTTAAAAAACGGTTAGTCTTTCGGGAAAACGCTTGGAAAAGTATAATTTATTTGGTTTTTTTACATATTTTGAAATTTTTTAAAAAATCATATAGGGTGTTCCAAAAAGTTGGGTAATTTCTTAACCACGATTCTGCTTAAACTGCTTGACATAAAAAACTTATTTTTGGCAAGTGGATTTTTCGAAAGTCAAATTCCAACGAGACGAAGCTACCCCTCAAATATTACCAAGTTATATAATAATATCGCCATATTGTTTTTTTTTTCATGCTCACATAAATGTGAGAAAATGTTATCCAGTTTGTATGTTAATGGAAATTCTTGCTTTGCTTTATCATCACCATTACAAATGATTAATTCTACGCGAATGAAGTCGCTGGTACACGCTAGTGTTTCAATAAAAGTTGTCCCCTAGGTACTAGCCACCCTATGTCAGTTAATTTTGATTTGAGCAGAAAACGTATAGAGATGATTTTTATGTAAAATTGAACGCTCTACAAATTTTATTTGAACTTTTTTTTCCTAGTCCTTACTACCGTTTCTCCAAAATTTCGAAAAAATAATTTTATTTATTTATTTTACCCCTTCTCAGTATTTCTCTCTCATTCAGTATTTCTCTGCAGTACTAAAATCTATTATTATTTACCTTTCCTCTATCTTTATTTTATAGGTACTTATGTTTTGAGTATCATATACGAGATAGTATACAAACTTTAAGGTGGCTTGGTGTGGTGTGGACTGTTGAAGAGGGAAAATACAGTGTAGACCCAGAGAGTAGGAAGGAGTCTTTTCCCCCGATTTTGCCTCCATTTAACACAACACACGTAATAATACAAAACCAAATGCAAAAGCAATTTTACAAATGTTTATCATTTTCCAGAACGCTGGTTATTTGACATAATTTAATACAAATAATAAACCTTCAATTTGAGAAAATTTTAATTTGAAGTTTCAAAAATCTTATGTAAAACAGGCTAGGTATTTTTACACAAATGAACAAGGAAATTAAAGATAAAGGATTATACTATATCCGTATTGTAGCACATTTTTAGACAACTTTTTTATTTTTAAGATTTTGATTGCCAAACATCAACAAAATATTCCTTATGTTTGGACTAAATTTTCTGGAAAATAAAGACATCATTTAAAATTCCGTTACAATACGGAAATAGATTGAAGTTTTGTGATTACAGTGATATATAATTTATATGGTTTTGTAACAAATTGCTCGCTATTTTATGGCAAATGCTGAAGCTCTGCAAACCTTAATCAAGCCTTAATCAAAGCACGTGTGTTTGGAATTTTGGGTGTGGCTTAACACGACAGGATCGGGCTAAGCCTTAGCCCACGGCCACACAGAAAGCGTTTATAGCGTTTTGCGCTTTTTGCGTCTCAAGCGTTTTTTGCGATTTTACCGTTTTAAGCGCTTTTTTCGATTTGTGTCCATTAAAAACACGCAAAAGACGAGGCAGGTCTGCAGTTTCTATCAATAATGTCAATTAGTAACGTCGCAAGCTTGGATTCCCGGCCCGTCCAACAATCAATCCTGTGAGAAAGAGATAGGCGAGATCGGCGCCGTTAGCATTGAAGAGACAAAGATAAAAGATGCGGGGATTGAATTGTGGACGGGCCGGGGCTTATATTCGGAGACAAACACAATCTACTGCTAGTGCCAGTGTTGTGTGTAAAAATAATAATTATTATTTCTCATTTATTTTACGAGTTTCAGTTTATATGTGTATAGTTTTTTTTATGTTGTAGTGTTGTGGTTAGTACTTGTTATAATTATAATATAATATAATAAATAATTATAATTATATAATAGAATAGTAAATATTTCTATTTGCTAATGCAATTTTAGGATATGATTTATGAAACATTTTGGAGTGAAACTTCTTTACGCGCGCTGGGAGTAAAAATTCAAGGCTGTGACATACGAGCTAGTGAGACGGCCCTGACACACGAGCTCGTTGTAACGAAACCGTGTTAAGGGCTTAGAAATACGTAGTGACGCGACGTGTATTTGTGAGCAGTCCACGTGTTCATAAAAAATATTGATATTTTAATACAAATTTTGTAAAAGTGAACCTAATTATTACGGGTAAAAAACATTTTTTACACGTAAAAACTATTTTTACGCGTATAAAACAGTTTTTACTGGTAGAAAACTGTTTTTACGCGTATAAAACTATTTGTTACTGCTAGGAAACTATTTTTTACGTGTATAAGATTATTTGTTACGTGTAATAATCTATTTGTTACACATAAAAACTCTTTTTTACTCGTCAGAAACTTTTGTTTCTGGTTGAGAACCTTTCTTACGCAAAAAAAAATTTTTACGTGTAAAAAACTATTTGTTACACGTAAAAACTAATTTTTACGCGTCAAAAACTTATTGTTTCTGGTAAAAACTTTTTACCAAAAAAATGTTTATTATGTGTAAAAGACTATTAGTTACACGTAAAAATTATTTTTTACGCGTCAAAAACTTATTGTTTCTGGTAAAAAACTTTTGTTACGCAAAAAAATATTTTTACGTTTAAAAACTATTTGTTACACGTAAAAACTAATTTTTACGCGTCAAAAACTTATTGTTTCTGGTAAAAACTTTTTACCAAAAAAAATATTTTTACGTGTAAAAACTATTTGTTACACGTAAAAACTACTTTTTACGCGTAAGAAAATATTCCTTTAATTTATTACTTTTTCAACATTTCAAACTACACTTTTTCAAACATTTCCTTCAAATTTTTGAATTTAATAGAATCTTCCTAAACAGTAGATTTTCTTTATACAAATATTTTTAGATAATACCCTAAAATGAAAAAAAAAATGCATACTATTTAATTTATTTCTATGGTATTCTTAAATATAACATCCGCCTATGACGGGGTCTCATCTTAGAAAACGCTAAAGACGCTACAGAAAACAAACTGATTTGTTTTTATTTGCGTTTTTTGCGAGACACGCCGAACGCTACACGCTTTTGGTGTGGCCACCCTATATAATCCTGTTATTTTGTTTTAGTCGCTAAAGACGCTTTACGCTAAAAACGCAAAAAACGCTTTCTGTCTGGCCGTGGGCTTAGGCGTGGTTTCGTCACTCCAATCATATTAAAGGTGATTTGTCATTTTTTCGGTTAAAACGACAATAAGACTTGCTAAAACAAAAGAAACGACGCATGACGGATTTATATATGTATAAATTCATCCAGAGTTAAGTTAAAAAATATTAGAAACCTTTTTAGTGAAATAAATGGATTGTTATGGACGTCACCTGCCTTTTTTCTGTCATCGTCTGTCAAAACCTTCCCCGATTCGTAAAACAAAGTGTGGTGTTTAATACGATCAAAATAATTCTGCTATCTCCCGGCCTATAAGGTTTTATTGCGTATAGCCGTATACCCCCGTTAAACAGCTTTAAATAAAGACCTCTTTCCCTCACTGTATAACCCTTAATTACTTCAGGAGAGCCGAGGGTCTTTATTCAATTATAAAGTCGTAGAGAACGGCCCTTAAACGCAGCCCTAGGGCTTTTAGGGCTTCATTGTGCGGCGATCTTTTGCTCGCGATCGCGGGGGTTGCGCGTGTGTGCGTATCAATGCGTTCAGTCCGTATGGAGAATGTGGAGAGAGATATGGATATGGGGAGGTAATGGAACGATGAAGGGTGTGGAAATATATCTGGCTTGTTTCCCTTCATTTAGAAAAAAAATATTTTAATAAAAAAAATACGGAAAATATTTTTCTGTATTTTTTTAAGGATATTTTACGTAACGCTAATACCCATTTATAATACAGGGTGGTTCGAACTGTATTCCGGAAACTTCGGCAGCATCTTCTGCAGAATAAGTAAAAAAGTTCGTATAAATGTATGTCCTAAAATGCATAATTTTGGAGATACAGGGTGTAGAAATTTTTTTTGAACCTAAGAATTTCAGGACATACCTATTTATTTTTATCTACAGAATATGCTGCTGAAGTTTCCGGAATACAATTCGGATCACCCTGTATACTATTACTATACCTTACGGAAGATATTTCTTAAAAGTTGATAAAAACAAAGACACAACAAAACGAGCATATACGAACATTCACGATCGAATTAAAATAACAATCACTCACACGGCACTAAATCTGGTCTGTCCGCGGGACACCTCGATCTCCCTTTCCTCCCCTCCGCCGCTATCCTTACCTGTTTCGTCTCGTTTCTCGTCGTCATCCTTGTCCTTGTCGTCGCTGTCCGAGACCAGGGCGTCATCGTCATCGTCGGTTTTATTTTTCGGCTCCCAGGTCATCTTGTTCTCTTTTTTCAGGCGTCGTCGAGCGTTGGCGAACCACGTCGATACCTGGACACATCACAAATCATCAGAAAATCATGCTAAATAGTCTTTTAGTTGAGTTAGTTAGCTATCATGTGAAGTACGAGAAGACAAATTCAATTTTGGTAATGCAGAATTTTTTCTGACCATGGTTTTCTGACTTACTTGTGTTAGGGTCATTTTGGTGATGATAGCCAGCATGATTTTCTCTCCCTTCGTGGGGTAGGGGTTCTTTTTGTGTTCGTTCAGCCACGCTTTCAGTGTGGCCGTCGATTCTCGCGTGGCGTTTTTCCTTCTCGCTGCCAAGTCGTACCCTGCACTGTATCTGAAACAAATTTGAAAATTACGATAACTAAGTGTTATTTCATCAACATTTTGATAATATTAGCAGCGTTTTTTCTTTTTTGAACAATCCATATTTAGAAAAGCAATCAAAAGATAAAAAAAAACGTCTCTGAGACTATCGAAATGTTGATATAATAATAATTTGATATTTTTTATTTGAATAGTCATAATCATAAGGGCTACTGTAACTCTGTTATAAAAATAAGGTAATTAAGGGCTTATTTTTTCGTATGTATTATAATTTTGCTTAAAACTTTGGTTTGAAAAAAGATATCAAGATACGGGTTTCACTGAATTTTTAAGCTTTTATTTCTCTTTAGTATCAGCTAAAATTACATATACTATGGTAAGTATTTTTTTTTTGAAAAAAACGCTTAATATTTGCTAAATTGTAAGACAGCTCCCCCTAGCGTCTACGTTCAAAAGCTTATTTTTATTGTTTATATGCTATAATAAAGAGTAAGAAACGCTCTTTTAAACGAGCTCTCATTTGTTGGATTTCGATCTTCCAGTCCGGAGTTATTAACATTTAAACATAAAAACATTTAACATAAAATCATTCCAACAAAAAATATTCAAAATTTACTGAAAATTATGAAGCTATTATTTAGAGTACCCGTTATGTGGGCAAAATTGTGTAAAAATTTCTATTCCTTATTTTTTTATAGCAGTTCCGCTCTCTAGCAGCCGTTCTACAAACTTGAAAACAATTTCCAGCAATTTCTCATAGCCTCTTTAGTTATAAATACCGTATGATCGAAAAAAAACGGCGTCCAGTTGGCTGGAAAATGAACATCGATGACATTTCTCATATAAATTTACATATAAAATGACAGCGATCTTCATTCCATAGCCATCGCTGACGCCGTTTTTTCTCGATCATACGGTATTTTTTTCCGCAGGCCCTACGGCTAATACTTTCCGAGATACAGCCGAGAGCTATTCTTAGTGGGACACCCTGTACAAACCAAAAATAAATAAACCTGGATGAATCAATGAAATTCTCGTATAAACTACTTTTGAAACTCATAATTTAATCTAACGCTTAGGAACGGTACTTAAATCTTAGGAAAACAAAAGTGAAGTTAACTAACTACGTAAATATGACCTTTCCCTCTTATATTTCGTAAGGTTTTCTGGAAAAACAACACGCAACCAAGAGAAAGCCATCCCGAAAAAAGGGAAAAGCGAAAAAAAAACAGCTGGCATAAATCTAAAAGTGATTTTATCGACCATCCACCGCAAAAGTAGGAAATAATGGTGCAACGGCACGGCGGCAGACGGCGCGCCGTTCACCTGCGGCGTCGTGGCGCTTTTCCCCCTTTTCACCTCCAACGTCCCCCCAGTATCCCCACCCTTGCGATCGATCGATAAGCGCCGGAATCGGCCATTTTGTCTTGGAGCCGTTCGGGGTTAGGAGCGACTTTTGCTCGGAGCGAGATTTCTACCGTAAATTCAGAAGAAGTGTTTTTTGGAATGATGAAAATTTTGCGAATTATGTAGGATTTATGAAAAAAAAATTGTCGATAGATTTTCGTGTTTATTATGGACTATTATGATATTATTATATAATTTCCATTAGTACACCGAAGTTAAGCGACGTAAGGCGATACTAGTGGATGGACGGGTGATCGGTTCGAAACTCTGTATCGTGCTGTTGTCCAAGGCAAAAGTGTAAAATCTATTGACACACACTGCTCATTCACGCCGGTTCGAGGCCGGATGAGATCGGATATCTCGTGAGTAAGAGTCTATTTAGACACTTGCCTTTGGACCGCGGTTCGAATTCCGCGTAAACAAAGTAGGCCCCGTCCAGATTAGCCCGGGCAGCAAAAAGGTGACGTTAACTTCAAATATTTACTTTACTAACTCATTTATTTGACTGTTACATAAATTATGCTCTACAGCAGATTTGGAACATTTCGGCATTTTCGAAAAATTAATTCAGAATACTATATTGTTTTATTAGGAGTAAAAATGACACTTTCTGTGTAATAGAACATGCTATTTTTTTCAAACACCATAAATAATTTTTTAAACAATTTCAAACGTTCCAAATAATATAAAAAATAAAACTTGTATGTAATTGTATATCGACAAACTATGGTTACGCTCGTTGAATTTGACATTTAGGCGTAAAAGTGCTTCACTTTTATGCCTAGGCGTTAAAATGACTTTTTTATATTGTCAATCACGTCGCAAGAATTAATACTTTTGTGACGTGTGAAAAAAAAATATTTTTTACTCTGCCAAGTTCCGCAATTGACAGCTCACGTCAGGCACGTTTATGGCTCATTTGTATAAATTGATATCCACTGCCAAGCAGTATGAGAAATGAGTGTGTCATGAGAAATTTGGGAAATTTTTATTTTTTTAAATTATTCATAAATTTTTCTTCAAAAAATTATGATAAAACAGTTTCTGTTGAACTTTTGGCACAAAAACATTTCAATTTTTTACGTACAAAACGCCGTAAATGTATATTATTTACTCAGTAGTTTTATACAGGTACGCACGAAAAGTTATTATTCTCCAAACGAGTTAAAAAATATGTAGGTGGCGCCCTCTACTAGTAAGAGTCATATTGACATCAAAATCAAATTTCTCATGTCAAAAAACTCCCGACAACAATTTTCATCCAAATATTGACTTATTTACTTCAGAAATTATTTGGAAAAAATCGAAATAAAAATAAAACTTCCACACCCTGTATCTCCGAAAGTAAACATTCTAGGACATAAATTTATACGAACTTTTTTACTTATTTTTATCTGTAAAATATACTGCCGAAGTTTTCGGAACAGAGTTCTGACCATCCTGTATACGAAGTCAGGCAGTAGATACCATTTTAATACAAAAAGTTAACAAGAATTAAAAGCCCATACATTTTTTTTCGGAACAATCCCCAAAATAAATAAAAGCCTGAAGAGATTTATCATTCGTTAAGTCAATTATTTCGTTACACTCCAAACAGGGGGGGATACAGCGCGGCGATCGAGGGGGCGAAAGGGGAACCGACGGGGGGTCGAAAATAAAGAGGAAGCGGACGTATCGCGCCCCCTGGTTTTCCGCAAGCTGGGATTTGATTACGCTTCGAGTGGTTTCACCCCTATTAAGCCCTGCGCTACTTTTTTGGAGAGGCGCTCTAGCTCCAAGTCTCTATATCCCCCCTTGCTCTACTTCCCTCACTCCGATCCTGCCAGACAGCGAAAAGGCGGCGAGAACGTTACAGGACCGGATTTTCCAGGATTTTGGTTTATTTTTTCTATTTCGAAGGTGTCCTAGATTACATTAGTATTTTGAGGAGGATTTTGATTACATTAGTATGATCACAATAAAATAATTGACATTTTAGATATTTTTTAGCAAATATACAAAATATACAGGATACAAAATACACAGGCAACCAAATATACAAAATATACAGGTGCTTTAACCAATAATATTACTAGTCCATTTGTTTACAAAAAGAAATCTATTTAAATCTTTGTAAAAGAGTATCTATACTAATACATAAAATCCTTAAGTGACTGACATACTGATTAATCACGATCCTGCTCAAACCACTCAACGTAAGAAGCTCAATTTTGGCACACAGGTTGATTCTAGGGTGTAGAGGTTCGATAAGAAGGGATTTTTCGAAATTCCAGTTCCAAGAGGGTGAAACCACCCCTCAAATATTACAATATTTTTTATTTAAAAAACGGTCAAGTTTCTTCTTGCTTTGCTTTATCATCACCATTACAAATGATTAATTCGACGCGAACGAAGTTGCTGGTACACGCTAGTATCATATAAATATACCACCGTTATTTCCGCCCAAATATTAATTAATTACATATTTAATTGTGTTAGTTAATAAATTATTCTAAATAAATGTGGATTTGAATCAGAAATCAACATTATAACAAGTTAACTTATCTGAACGTCTCTGTTGTTATAAATAAGCATTCGTCAAAAAATTTAATAAAACTTATAAAGATTAATTTTTACCACACTGTCTAATACACATACAAAATTCATTTTTTTTTAGAATTTGGAGCAATTATTAATCAAGGCAAACAGTCAATTAGTGTAGTTAGAATACTGGGATCATATTAATTGGTACCCTTTTACCAATATCTAAACAGTTTTTTTTATTTTTTTAATGAAAAAAGCAAACTATATCGACAATATTAGTATCTGGCACTAATATTATATCGTAATCTAAAATGTCAATATTCCATGGGTATATTGATAAATGAGGTCTAAATTATAAGAAAATGCATTTTCTAGGAAAAATTGAAGAGTTAGGTAAAAAATGGTATAAAACAATTTGATAGACAATTAAATTGTCCATATGACCCTCGTAGATTATACAGGGTGTTCTATTTCAATTAAGCAAATTATTGCCGTTTAAAACAAATAATTTTTTAAAATAAATTTTAGACACCCTGTATAAGGTAGTATTATTTTTATTATTACAAGACAAAATTTAGTAAATAGAAAAACTTCATTACACTATTTGGTCTTAAAAACTTATATACACCTAAAAAAATGAATAATTTATATTGTTACTGTATTGTCATAAAATCGTAAAGATATATCAAGAATCTCATCATATCTCAAGAATGGAAAGATTTATTATTAAGAGAAGAGCGCTTTATTATTAAAATTTTGCCATTATTTTAATTGTGAAAACTAAAAATGTAATAATATAAAGAGAATTCCTTTTAAAAAAATACAATTTTGATATTTTTTTATTTATTTGGGACCCTCTGTATAATAAAAAAATAGAGATTTGCATGCAGGCCGCTATCTGGCGATGCGGGACTTAATATCTTACCGCTACTTTACGACAAGTCGTATTTATATACTCTGCGCTGTGCTCATCGTTTTGTGGAAATACCCAAGCTCACCTGATGATGGGGTAGGGCCCCGAAACCGGTAGTGAGAGCAGGTTGATCCACATTATGATGAACACAGCGTGGAATTAATTTCTATATTAGCAGTTCAAGGCCAAGAAACTCTTATATAATTTTATTATATACCTAAAAACTGCAAGAAATTTATTTTCCATTATATAAAAAAATAGTTGATGTACCCAGTGCGATCCTGTCCTATACCGACCTAATAAAACCACCACCGAGCCCCGAGAGAAAAACTCGACGAAAATCGAATTTTCCACGATTTTCTCCACACATACGACCGCTCTCGGTAGGCTCTCCATCCCCCACATCAACACTCCAACCCCCTACACGCACCCCCCAAAACGTTCCAGCTGCTGACTTGGTGCTTTTTCCCGAGCACGGGAGGCGGACACATTTCAGATTTTCATCCCCCCCCCACACTACCCCTATTCTCTCTGTGGAAAACGTTTAAGTACTTTATAAGGGTAGATTGATAGTTTAATTGACTCGGGTGTTTTCCAGCCGATCGGGGGTGTGAATAGTCGGGGAAGATTTATCGGGAGCTTATTCTCAGTCGGCTCGGGGGGTGAGTTTTTTCCTTCTGTTCAAGGGCGAGAAAAGGCTCTAAGAGAGTTAATAAACGAGAGACAGGGGTTGAAATAGAGTATAGAGTCTGTTTAGATGTGAGAGCGTGTGTGAATAATTTTATTGGGATGGGGTGAATCATTTTAGTGTTGGTTTGGACGGTGGAATCAATCTTATTGGTTTCGATCAGGGTGGAAAAAAATCAAGATATGTTTTGATCTTAATCGGATTTTTTAAAGTAAAAATTCAAGGCGAGATAGACGAGCTAGCGAGATGAAAAGTGGTAAGGATCGCACGATCGCGCAAACACCAAAAAACATTTGATTTGGAGCTAAGAAAATCATTATAATAAACTTGATCCACTTGTGTACCAATATTCTCTGGTTGTGTACTACGAAGTAAATTTTCATGTACATTTCATCGATAGGTTTGTAGCTTCTGAATAACGGTCTAGGTAAAGCATCTAGCTCATTGCTAGCTCAGAATTAGAATTAGTAGAGTCAAGCAACTCGCATTTTCATTGGAGGACTTTGTCATATTTGTTTCGAACCAAAAATTAACGAGAATATTCGTATATTTTAACAAAATCACCGTAAATCACTAGTGATTTACGGTGAACAGTAAAATCTCATCCAATTAATCCTATGGAACTGCCAAAACCAATCCAAACCAAAAAACTCCGAACTTCTCGCAGGTTTTCACATACTCAGCCAATAATACGAGCAAGATGGCTTAAATATTTATTAGCTCTGGCTCATTTTTTATTCATCGACGAGGTGTCTGGGATATTTACCGCCGTCTACGTCGATATTATGCGTTATTTGCTCAATTATTAGCTGGTCCATTGTTCATTCTCCTTCTATCCACTCCGAAATCCGATCTTATCTCTCGGCCAGGGTTCGTTCTCTTCTTATTCTCTTATTTTTGGTGACTCCGGTGTCGAGTTCGACACCATAAAACGTCTCTTCGACGCTCCTTTCGCCGTTTTGACCGCGACGAAGAGTTTTTTTCTTTTTTTGGATTGATTTGGCTTGTTTTTCTCTTCTGCTTCAGTGTTGGTTTTCGTTATTTTCGAAGATTTGATAAAAGATTCAGTCTTTTGAAGTTTAATTTCCAGAATGCTCTTGAGGCGCTGCTAATCCTGTGCTGAATTTCAGAGTCGATATTGGCATTTTCCAAAATCAAACTGCCGTAAGTAATTGAATTCCACTACATATTCCAATAGTTCTTCTCCGATTTTTATAGCATTGTTGTGATCTCCCGGGGAAGTACACATGATTTTGATGGAGTAAGATGGACTAGGGATGACAACTGAAGGGATACAGTATGGGCGACCAGGAAATTACTATTCTATGCTATGCCGATGACGCCGTATTGGTAGCTGAAAATGAGAACGATCTACAGCGCTTATTACATCGATTTAATTGCACTGCCAAATCACTTAATATGATAATATCGACCCAGAAAACTAAATGCATGACGACATCAAAAGTACCACTAAGATGCAAACTGGAAGTCGAGGGCAATGTTATTCAGCAAGAGATGAAGTTTAAATATCTAGGCATAGAAATCTCAGGATATGGTGATGTAGAAGCGGAGGTGCGAGAACGGACAACGAAGGCAACCAGAATAGCAGGATGCCTGAATGATACAATATGGCGAAATAAAAAACATTGAGGTGGAGACTAAAGCGAGAATTTACAAGGCAACGGTACGACCAATAATGACATACACTGCAGAAACTCGACCTGATACAGCGAAAACTAAATAACTACTAGAAACAACTGAAATGAGAGTACTACGCAGAATAGCTGGAAAGACGCTTCTGGACAGAGAGAGAAATGAAAGCATAAGAAGAGCGTGCAAGGTGGAAAATGTAAATGAGTGGGTACTCAGCAGAAAGGAAGAATGGAACGAGTATATCAGCAGAATGGACAACAGAAGGATAGTGAGAGTTGCACGCGACAAATCACCGCTAGGTCGCAGAAGCTTAGGACGTCCACGAAAACGATGGAGCGACAACTTGTCAGTCTGACCGGTAGAGACGACGAAACCAAACAGGCGATTTGCCTAGTATGAAGAAGGAAGAAGAAGAAGAAGAAGAAGATGGACAAGTATGAAAGTATGGATGTATATAGTAAGATGGACAATGCAACTGCAGATGGCCTTAAAAACCACCTCAGAATGGATGACACATGTTTTAATGAACTTTTAAAGATGGTTAAACCCTTAATATCGAAGAAAAATACAAAGAAATGTTCACCTGGACGCTTTGATTTACGTGCTTTTTAAGTCTCTTTCGGAATGCACCTCGCAAATTGTTTATTTTCTTTTTCTTACAGAATCAATATAGCATTTTTATCAACAATTTTATAAAATTCCAACAATGTTTCATAAGTTTTAGTTTTTTCCTGTGTCATCATATTTAAAAAAAAAGTTCACCAATTTTCGTAAAAATTCACATATTACAACATAGGTACTTCCTCATCAGGAAGCATATTAGAGCATAATATTATAAGTCAATAGGAAATTTTAGTTTTACTTTTGTCTGTAGAATCATCAATTGAAGTTTGGTACACTGTTTTTTTACACCCTGTATATTTATTTATTCGTTAAAAAACGCCTTCCGTCAATGATCAAAGCAATCCGAATGTAGAAACCGTCCTTCCTTCTTGTAAGAATTCGTATTTTAAACTAATTCGAGGAAACATTGATTTTATCTTACAGTTTTTGTTAAAGAAATGCCCACAAAAATAGCTCTCTCTCTAAAAAATAGTAGTTTCTTTGAATCGGTTCACAAAAACCGCAAATTTTGTAAAAATAGAAAAAAAACGCTAGTTCTATTTCATTATCTGATTCTAGTTCGCTTTTAACTGAACATAAATCAACGTAAAGTAACACACGTATCCATTAAGATAGGTTATCGGACTTTGCTACATTAACCAAAATGGTTTTTTGATGTATTTTTATGACTAATTAATTTGTACCAAGCCGAATATTGTTTCTTTATTTATTTAGCTTAATTTACCTTATTAGTAATATGCTGTTTAATTCTTCTTGCTGATTAAGGATTTTTGTTTTAAGCATTAATAGAAAATTAGAAGACTATCGAAGCTCCTTGTCCTGTTTTAAGCTGCATAATATGATTTTTTTATTTATTTGAAAATAAATCTATTTCTGATGAATTTCAATAAAAAAAATTAACATACCCATAAGCAGCTAAAGCTGGGTCGTACGGATAGTACCCAGTGGTCGGTTGAAGTCCTGCACTGGTCCAAGCTGACATGTCAGCCGCTCCACTGGCATCTTTCAAACTATACGGATTACTCTGTAAAGAAAAAAACAAATTTAAACAAAATAATTTAGGGAAAATACGAAAATAAAACAAAAAACAAGAAAAAAGTGCGTCAGCAAATTACATTTTCCTATATATTGTTTCATATTATTTGTTATACAGGGTAAAAGCCCATATACAGAGATACTATAAGTAGTTATTCAAATCTATCTACGTGTAGTTCTTACAACACTGAAAAGTCTTCGTTAAAAACTGGTACCACTCGGTATACGGAGGTGGATACCTTGACTTGACTCTCGCGCGTCTAGTTAGTAATACGGGAACACGAATTGACAGATGACAGCTGCGGAATGTGATGGCATCGTGAGAAGAACACTCGTATACCCAGAGATCTCTGCGGCACGATAAGGATCGCGTGGTTTCGCAATATGTGTGTAGAACCAAATTGACAGCCATATTTTTCAGTGTAGAAATTTATTATTACTTATTCTAATTTTTAAGTTTTAGAGATTGATTTGTTAGTTAGAAAATTAGTTTGGTTTGATTGAATTGAAATTCTTCATAAAAAATGTTGCTTGTTTTATAATGGTTAAGCCCACTTATACTTTTCCGAATTTGCATATCGTTTTTGAGAAAATTAAAAGAAAAACATGAAAATATAGTTGAATTTTTTCAAGTCCTAAAAGTCAAAGAGTCATAATAGTTATCGAAAAATGTGATACTTTAATAACAGCAAAAATATGACGTTAATCAAAATTAATAATAACAATCTATCAAAGAATCAAATTGAAACTATATTACCATAGAATCGCCTTTTAATTGTTAGGACTAAGGAAAATTCAACCATATTTTCATGTTTTTTTTTTCATTTTCTCTAAAACGGTATGGAAATTTGGAAAAGTATAAACGGGCTTAACCATTATGAAACAAGCAAAACTTTATATAAAAAATGCCTTTTTCTTAAAATGACTATAATAAAAGAGTTTGTAAAGACAATCCGGAGACATACTGTATAATGTTTTTAATATGTAGTTATTACCAATAAGCTATAAGCATGCGCGACATGAACTATCAATTCCGGAAGATAGCAAAGTTCCAACCAAAACTTATTTAAAAATATTTTTTTTGTGAATTTTTTGGATATTTTAATTTTTATTCTGCTATTCCGAGCGAAGATCATTAAAGTCGTTTTAGCAGTTCTTGTTTTATTGATGCCGAAACTAACCATACTTTGTTTTATTCAGGATAGATTCTGTTAGCGAATCAGATGCATATAGACTCTCCCGGATTTTATAGCCTGATATTGTCTCCCGAAGCCCAATAAAAAAATAGCCAAGGATAAAAACAAAAGTGCTGAACATAAATTAACGCCTACTAGATGCTTGACAGGACAAAATAAGGGGTCCGGTGGGGAGGGGAGGAAGCAGTCGTTTCTCCAATGCCGCGTATGCAAAACACTGCCCAAGATCGCGCGCGAAAATTTAATGCCCTTTTTTATTATTGCACTAAAGTCTTTATATGTCGTTTATGGCTTTTATTGCGTTTATTTAAAATTCTAGCGGTGTAAGAGCGTGTGTCCCGGCCTTAATGTGGGCTTATTTATTGTTGTTTTCGCGCCATTCTTTGAAAGAGTCCGTCTAGTTGATAAAATACAAGCACGAGCTAATTAGATCCAAGTCTGGTCTAATAACATCATTTTATGTGAAGACAGGAAAAGAATTGCTTTGTGTACATGAATTGTGGGTCTGGAAATTGCTTCACAAGACGTAATTTCAAATAAAAAATATCCATTCTGGGGTACGTGTTCTGCGACCCAATTTGACCGCATTTTCAAGCTCCAGAAGAGAGCTGTTCGATATTCACTGGGACTAAACAGCAGAACTCATTGCCAAGATTTTTTTAAAAAATTAAAAATATTAACTCTTCCTTCCTTATTTATATTTGAAACCGTTTGCCTAATAGGTAAGCATGTATTAGCTTCTCAAGAAAGGCCATCTCACACTTATCCACTCAGGAACGCGGAGCAAGATCTTTATCTACCTACCCCACGCTCAGAGTTAGTTAGAAGTTCAATATTATACAACTCGAAAAAAATGCACAATCACCTGCCATTTGAAATCAAATCCATAACATCATTTTCTTCATTTCGCAAAGCATTGAAATCTTATTTACTAGACAAGGCTTTCTACGCCGTAAATGACTTATATTTTGATAATCGAATTTGATCTTGTAAACACTGGTTTAATATTTGCTATTACTATATTTACTATAAACTTACTAAATATTTTTGAATCTTGTTTTTATTTTTTTATTCTTTGACATTGTAAACAAGGCTGTGACTAAGAAATATCGAAGAATAATAGAAAAATTCAGCATAACAGAAACAGAGGCAGAGGAAACAGTCCATTGCCAAAATTGAGATGGTTCTCAATAGGCATTTTGAGCTTGTTCGTTACAGACGAAGCCATCTTAATAGGAAAAAGAAACGGCAGAATATGTCAGTGAGATTATCTGTGTACAGTTCTTTGTATTAGATGATAAGCTGAACAAATTAGGTAAAGGAAATAAAGTCCTGGGTGCTAGTCGACCAAGGGATAGAAAAGTAAAATAATAATAAATAACCCTTTATTGTACAAAAAGCCAAAATAGCTTCATCGATAAAGCATTTACAAAACAAACAAAAGCACAAAGAATATACAAATAATAAAAAATATCATACAATACAAATCAATTCAAAAAAATTAACGTTATTAAAATTACAAATAAAACATACATGGACATTACAGACCACAAAAAAAGACGTATCTAATAAAATATTAAATATTAGATTTTTAACTAATGTGTCAGATGATCAAAATTTTAAAATTCAAAATTGTTCAAGATTAAACATCAACAAAAAAGTCGTTTAGCGCATCTCCAGCATCTCCTCTTTGGGCTCTCTCCAATAAGTATGATTTCAGAACTTTGCGAAATGCGGAAAAGAATGAAAGCGACTTGATATCCAAAGGCAGATGATTGTACTTTTGGCATTGTACAATATTGAGATTTTAACTAGTTCTGATCTCGGGGTTGGCAGATAAAGATCGTGCTCCGCTTTCTTAAGTGCTAAGTAAGTAAGATTTAATGGTGCGTAAGTCACTGGATATAGTATTATATAGTTCCGTAACATCTTGGCCGCTCCAAGTGAAACTAGTATCGTGCGAAAAAAGACAGGTTTTACCGCTAATGTCTAGATTTGCAATATTGTTGATAAATACCAGAAACAAAATAAGGCAAAGTACTGAACCCTGAGGGACACCACATTCTATAGGCTTACAAGAAGACTTAGACGTATCAATCCTCACAAGCTGCCTTCTCTTGCCAAGATATGACTTAAGCCATTCGAGCGGCACTCCCCTGAATCCATAGTATTGCAATTTTTTAATTAAGATATTATCATTTACACAGTCGAAAGCCTTAGAGAAATCACAGAAAATTGTAGCTGTAGAGTGATGGTCATTCAGACTAGAGTATACATTATTAAAAAGGTCGAACCTAGCATCATTTGTGCAACTGTTACTTAGAAATCCAAATTGATGGGTAGTAAGTATTGTATATTTAAGGAGAAAAGATAGAAGCATTTTTTTAATCAATCTTTCAATGATGTGGGCAGGAGTGCAGTTGGGCGATAGTCGAATCTTGATCCTTATCTCCTCCTTTATGCAGAGGGACAAGTATTGCTGTCTTAAGGCAGTTTGGAAAAACTCCTTTTTGGAATGACTCCCTTACTAGAAGATGATATCGATAAAGGGCTATATGGAGGGTTCAGTTTTCAAGCTACAAGACTTAATAAAAAGGATAAGTCTGGAAAATGTAATAGAGAGTGAAAATAATGCAGTAGAATTGACCAAAAGCCACCTCCGCAAATCTAATCAAATCCATCTTCTATAAAATTACATACTGATGTTTTCAGATAGTGTTATTAAAGACAGAAAGGTGTTTAAATGTTACGCCAATGGGCTCGAAACGAACGAGGTGCTGGAATAATCGATTGAGCAACTAATTATTTGAGCGGCTTGGACTAAAAAACAATGGCGAACATGCTTTTCGGAGACTTATCAGCCGGCGGAATGCCGAAACGGCATTGCTGAGACCAGGCCGCGAGTGTAGCTCGCTGTTTTTTCCGCCCGGAGAGATCGCTCTTTATTTGGTATGCCATCTTTCGGCGGCTTTTTGCTCATATTCCCAACACTTGAAAGGACATCTGAACACAAACACATAATATTTGCTTGTTTTTCGGATGTCTTGTAATGTATGAATGTTTAGAAGAGTTTCATCTTGAGAGAAACATGGAAAAGAGATTGACTTTAAGGTGAAGAGGTTCGATAAGAAGGGATTTTTCGAAACTCGAATTCTAAGGGGGTGAAACTATCCCTCAAATATTAAAATATTTTTTATTTAAAAACCGGTGAGTTTTCCGGAAAAAACTCTTAAACACGTATAGTTTATTTTGTTGTTTAACATATTTTAAGATTTTTTATAAATTTTTACAGGGTGTTTCATAAAATATGAGTAATCAAGATTCTGCTTAAACTGCTTGACGTTTAAAGCTGATTTTAGGCAAACGGATTGACTGTGGGGTGCCTAGAGGTTCGATAAGGAGGGATTTCTCGAATCTCAAATTCCAAGAGGGTGAAAACGCCCCTCAAATATTACAATGTTTGTTATTTAAAAAACGGTTAGTCTTTCGGGAAAACGCTTCGACAAGCATAATTTATTTGGTTTTATACATATTTTGAAATTGTTTAAAAAACATACAGGGTGTTCCAAAAAGTTGGGTAATTTCTTAACCACGATTCTGCCTAAACTGCTTGACGTAAAAAGCTTATTTTTGGCAAACGGATTGTTCGAAAGTCAAATTCCAACGAGATGAAACTACCCCTCAAATATTACCAAGTTATATAATAATATCGCCATATTGTTTTTTCTCATGCTGACATAAATGTGAGAAAATTTTATCCAGTTTGTATGTTAATAGAAATTCTTGCTTTGCT